TGACAGCTGTCTTACCCCAGCTGTCTTCGTAATCCTTCTTGTGGGATTTCATATTAGTGAGATTTTTCTGCCTATAGGTTTGATTTCATAGATGTAGGGTTTCCTGGATGTCTGACTGCTGCTAACTGCCTGGCTTTATTACTGTTAGCTTGAGCATAACACCAACCCATAAATATGCCACCTCTGTGTGGCAGCTGACTAGGGCCAGGGCAAGAAAGTTGGTGCCTGTCTTCAAAAGACCATGAGGACATAAACACCATCTCTTATGAACATCTGAACCATTAGAGCATCTGCTCTAAGACCCTGTGTAATACACGCCCCACAGCTTCAGCTGTACCCTTTGCACTGGGTCCAGGGATTTCTGTTTGATTATTGACACGGCTTTTGTGAGCCACTTCAGCCAAAATGCCAGCTAGGATGTTTACCTGCTTGAGATATGGATGTAAGAAAGAAAAATAATTCTCTAAAGGGTTATCTGATGCTTCAGAGACCAATTGGTGTGATATCAAGAAAGGGCAGTTAGCTGTAATTACTCCTTACCAGTTCAGGAGAGGGTGAAATCAGATCTCTGTTTATTAATCACTTTTTCAATATCGCAGTGAAGTGTGTTCTTATTTCGACGCCTATGAGAAGCGCTATAAAAATTGAAGAGTATTTTGTACTCTCAGAGATATTGCAAGTCCCCATACACATGTATAGAAACAATTTGTTTGTTTCCAGGTGTGATCCCATTAGATGCGATGGAGACTCTTGTACCCACTTGCAAGAAAACTGGTCATTTCAAAACCACTGGAGAAACAGGAAAGGAGTTCAGAATAAAGCAAACAAAACAAATGAAAGGATACAGCAGCTATTTCAAAACTGCAGCTAAAAGTAAATTCCTGTTCTGACACAAGTATCCAACCTAGTCGGTCTCAATCTGGGGGGCAAGGAAGGATGCTGAGAACTAAAAACCTGCAGCGGTTGAAAACCAGAAGTAGCTAATAAAGCACAGTTATTGGCTGTGGTTTGTTACAATGCTTTAACACACAAAAAGGCTGACCTGACAAGCTAAAATTCCTTTAGAAACCATCTATAATCTTTTTACATTACCACTAACACTTTGCAGCACTTAGCTAATAATTAGGAATTCCTCTGGTTTTCACTGTCACTGTATGAATCATTTGGTTTAAATGCGGATACCTTAAGTAGGTCTGAACGATTCTGCTGGAATCAGCAAATTAACTAGACCATTTAATCTCCTCACCCACGTTTACATGGCTATAGGAAGTGTGGTACAGACATTTTGAACGTTAATTGGAGACCTGTAAAAATGGAAGTTCCTCTTACTTTTGTAAAGGTCAGCAGAATGAATGGTACAATTCACATCACTTGAAAAAATTAAAATCGTTTTACAAAGTGTCAGAAGTGAAAAAATAACATTGAAATGAATAAACATGTGAAGGAATTAAGCGAAATGGATACAGAATTTGCTTTGGGAATAGGGATGAGCAACTAGTGGGATTTGTACAAGGAAATCTGTTGAAAACGAGGAGATAAATCTAGATTGGGGAAGCTAATTCTAAATAGACAATTGCTCTGTAATCTCTTTTTTTTTTTTTCTTTATGCATATGTGGTCATTGGTCAACCAGCATTTTTAATGAGTAACAGCATATATTACACACTTTAAAGAATCAGCTGTGAGGCACAAATAAAGTAAACCCTATGACTGTACTCTAAAGGTAAAATATGTTATAACTACAAAGTGTTACAAATTCCACTACTTTTCCACTGGTGATAAAATAGGTGGGCTTGGCAACTGTATCAAATAACTAAATGTAGGATGCATTGAATTATTTAAGTATCTACTTGAAAGTAGTTACCATTCTGTTGCTTAATAGGAAAAAAGAACTTACTTTGCTTATCTTCTGGCAGGTCCCTTTGAATGTTGCATTTCCCATAATTTTCCTATTTTAATAGTTTTTTAATTTCTTGCTTGAAATGTTAGTTTCTATTTTCTTCTTTTAGTTTTTCTTCCATGTAACTGCTTCAGTGCCACTTTTCTCCCCCCCTTTCCTGTGCTTTGTGCAGACCAGTAAGGAATCACTGTAGGCGGCAGAGCTGGCTGCTTTGTGTGGAAGGAAATGCTGCGGCCACTTTATGGAAGCGGCTTACATTTCTCACCTGAGGGGCTACCAGTGGTTAAATCGGTTCCATCGAGCTGCCTATGGATTCAGAGGCCTGCATTTAGTCAAAGTGCTCTTAACCAGAACCAGCATTTAACTTTCTTGCTTATTTGAAGTCTAAGACTTTGAGACCATCTGCTCTAAATGAACCTGCCGATATCATTATTAAAATATCAGCAAGGGATATCACTCAAGACTGGAGTGCCCTTGCTCTAGTTCTGTGAAAACACCGACAAGGAAATACTCCCTGCCCCAAAGAATGAAATGGGTAAGCAAAGCAAACAGAAGCACCTGGAAGGGAAGGAACTTGGTTGCATTCACACAGAGAATCAATCCTTGGCAGACCTTGAGGTCTCTTGAGTTTTGTGTGGTTGATTTTTTTTTTTAAATAAATGCAACAGTAATTTGAAATGGTATCCACAATGTCAGAAATCCCCCTTTTATTTCTGCTTATTGGGCTATAGCTGGAAATAGCCTTTCTGCCATATCAAGGGATCTCATGGACCTGCTGCAGTTCATAAGCCCTATCACCTGCCCTCTTCCTTCACCTACCCTGTGATCTAGGCAAGGCATGAAAGAATAGAACATTTGCTACCTTGGATCAATAGCCATTTATCATAGACAAATGAACTCCAACGGCGGGGAAAGTGAGATACCTTACAGTGGCCTAATTTATAGAGACGGTAACTCTTCTGCAGACCAGGAATTTGGTCAATTTTCTTTAATAACGAACAGATCCAACTATAAATCAGTTTACCTAGTGTCACAGATAGGTAAGAGGAATAGAAACAGTAGAGACCACAGATGTACTGTGTTTTTATACTGCTTTTTCATCTGGTTTCCAGTTACCTTTTTTGCATGTTTGTTTCCTCACCCATCTTCCTGTCTGCCATGGTGGTATTTTGAAGCGTTACTGTACACCTTTGTGTAGGTCTCCACTGAGGCGAATGAGTGGAGCTGTAGAAGAAGTACCACCCAATCTGCCTTCTGCTGGAACGCGCAGATCCCACTGCCTTCAGCCTGGCTGTGTTCCCTTATCTTTCATACCTGGCACCCTGTCTCCACAATTATGTGGAAAAATAATCATTAGTACTGTCAGGATTTTTTTTTTTTTTAATTGCCAAGATTTGCACGTGTAAACTTAGGATTTAGAAGCAATTTGCTTTATAGTGATTAGGTCCCTGTTTTGAAAGGCACTTTGGGATCTCACTCATGGAGAAAGCCATGGGAAAGCCACTGCAGCCTGAAATGACCGCAGCCACCGGCAAAGCTCAACGCATTAGTGCAGGTTCAGGGACTGAATACGTGTCCATACACCATGCAGCCAGTCCTGCAGCACAGACAGCAAATTGCACCCTGGATGCAGTATCAGCCTGGCACTGCCCAGGGCTCTCAGCAGGACTGAAGAGATCAGGGCCAGTGCCATGGTGAGATGGATATGCTGATGCTTGTCCCATGTGTTGTGCATAGGCTGCCAGGCTGAGGCCCTACGCATACTCCCGCACTGTGTGGCAGAGACATGCTGTCAGCCACCTCGTTTCATATACCGCTGGCTTGGTACAGAGTCTGAAAAGGGCTTCCTGGCATCTCCAGGGGTTCCCTTGGCAAAGACCTTACAGCTCAGCCATTACCAGCTAAAATCAACACTATCCATTTTGCAGTCAAAACAGAATTTGGGGATCACTTTATATAAGTGGAAATCTTCATGTACCATCTACAATACGTAGGTTATATTATTGCCGTGAACAAGTTAACAGTTCTGGAAACAACTGAGTACTAATAACAAACTAACCCTTAATCAAACATGTTTTGCATTGTCTGGGCTCATTAGGCTCATGGTGGTTGAAGAGGAATAAGGCATCTGCTTCTAGTTTCTTTCCTAAATCTGTAATAACCATTTTAATGTACGTAACCGTGATAGACCCTGTATTGTGGTGTTCTGTCACATCAGCTGACTGGTTCTGCCTGTTTTACAAATAATCTTTCTTTGGTGAAATGATCTACTTTTTCTACATTAGTATGAGGCTCCATCTGCAGTAGTGGATGCATTCAGGCGTTGTAAAATGTGTAAGTGACCGCTTTTTAATTTAGTCGCACTTAGAGGTCTAAGTTAGGGTCAAAGCCCCATTGTGCTAGGCACTATAAAAACTCACAGTAAGGGAAAGCTTGACTGGAAATTTCTCTTATCTAAGTATGCAAGAAGAGCCAAATTTAGGTGAAATAGCGGGGCAGAGAAGAAAAGCCATGTCAAAGTTATGTCACAAGACAGTAGAGGAGATAAGAAGTTGAACCATAGTCCTTATTCAGTGTCTTATCCAGAAACCCTGTTGTTTTCAATAATTAAACTATTAAACAGTAAGATTAAATATTTAAATGAAGACAAGGAATAAAGTAGAACTGTACACCCCAAATCACCTTTCTGCTTTCCACTGTGCTCTGGGCTTCTCTTTGCTACTGTTTGCCTGGTATTTGGGCACAGAGTTGACTTGGGGAACATGAACTTTTGCTCTGCCCCAGTTATGGTCTTTTAAATCTTCCTGTTCTTTCCAGCATGGAGACTTCTGATTGCCTGTGCTCTTCTTTCTGGTGGGGGATCTGACTGCTGTTTCGTTCCAGGACACACATTCTGCAGGGCTTTCATGTTGCTGACACATCTTGCTTCTTTTGATGGTTCTAACTCAGAGCAGCTGGGGTGCTTTTACCTGGCCTTGGCATTTTCCACAGACTGCCTGTCTACGTGCTCAGGCTTGGTTGTTTCCACTTTTGGGTTACCCTCACTTCTAACCCTGTTGCTGTGGCTGCCTGCTGTAACCTGTGTCTTGCTGCAGACTCACCTGGCACCTTTTCCATTGCATGCTTGCTGATCTGATAGTTGGACCCAGGTTTCCCATTTTTGTGCAGTGTCCTGGGGCTGGAACTCCTTTGCTGTAGGGAGGTGCTTGTGTTTGGGGCTGAGCTGGTGCTGGATCCTGGCCATTGCGTACACCTGGGACTGCTGCTGCTGAGGGACAAAATCCTGGCATTGCAATCCTAGGGCTGGGTTGCCCCAGATACCCCAAAGAAGGGACCACAGCCTAGGAGTGCTGAGTTAAGAAATCCTTCCGATAAGTTATAGTTCGTTCAGGATGACTCTCCCCTGCCTTTGTTCCTGCCTTGCCTCTTCTGACCAGAGGAGGTAATTTAGGCTTCTTGCCCCTGTTGCTCATAGGCAGGGTATTTTTCCCCTTGCTTTTTGTATTGCTTTGTCTCACTTTGTGCTTTGTACTGTGACATCCCCACTCTCAGCCAGTCGCAGGTCCTTTACCTCGTTCTGTGCAAATGTCTGTGCATAGCATGATTTTTTTCCTGCAACAGTTCAGCTCCTCTTGCTGTCTCCATGCCTTTCCCTTGGGTTGGATCTCAGCTGCCTGCTTTACAAACTAGAAACCTCTCTTGCTGGCTGGAATAAGTGAGCCACAAATGTACCTTTCCTTTATTAAGGAACCTTTAACATCTCCAAGTTACATGTTGGTGTGTGAGTTCTTGGGTCAATGAGCACGCAGCTCATATTTTGCTGCTTAACTTTTAGTTCAAGGCCTCTTCACAGCTCTATTCTGTCACAGGAGTCAGAGCAGTTCACAGTTGGCTTTGTGTTAACTCCTGGCAAGAGCATGCGCCTTTTATGACCTTTCTTCCCAACAAGACAGCAAAAGCTCCGCCTTTCTTTTCTCTGCCCTGCTCAACAGGTTTGTTTATGGGCTTTATTGTTACTCTTGCTTCAGTACTTGTGCAGGTTTGTAGACTCAGAAATGCAAGCGCTGCTTTGTTTGCCTGTTTAATCATAAATTCTGTCCTGGTGTGTGTTCTGCCTGACTGACCATTGGCGCTGTGTTTCTCATACATTTATTAAGGAATAATAAAAGAACCATAGTCTCTGAAACTACATTCACTCCTTGCCAGGGAAATTATTTACAGAGATGCTGCAGGTGCTGCTAGCTCTCCATTTGAGCACACACACTCCCCCACCCTGATTCCTTGGCCTCTTCCATCAAACTTTTTGTTTAGGGTTTTACAGTTTTACAATATAGCAGGAAAAGTTAAAGGGTCCTGATGAGTGGGGTCCTTACCTACTGTTTACTGTTGCTCCTTCCTCTCTAAGGCAGAAGAAAGGCTGAAACTACACATCTAATGGTGGGGGTGATGGTAAAAACAGGAGCAGGAATACAAAGCAGTGAATGCCATGCAATGCTGACTACAGTGTGAAGATTTCCAGGGTAACAGCATCGCCAATGCCTGTACTAGGAACCCGAGGATTTAGGAAGAAAAAGGTTCCTCCGTAGCGGATCATGATTTCCCTACGTATTCAGTTTCTTGTGCTGGACTGACAGGTGCTTAGCATTGATAGCACTAGTAGGAAATCCCTAACTATGCCTTTCTTCATCTACAATTAGACAGACTATATTTATTGCTGGTCAAGTAACTAAAACAAAATAAAACCCTTTGTGATTACTTATCTCTTTGAACAACAATTTTTTGAGGTCAGATACGGAGTAGGGTGATGGACATCTCCATGAGCACTGTCCTTACACATTGCAAATCCTGAGGGCTTCCTTCCAAGAAAGTATCTCTGGAGATAGATTGCCTTTTTTCTGACTCAGGAGACTTAACTATGCTGATCTTTCCACTGATGGCATTTTAGGTTAGGTTCTTTTCCTCATGCATATCTTTTAATACTTGCGTGACATCTGCTAGTACAGAAAACCAGGTGTGGTGTGATGAAGGTAAGGACTATGTTACTTGACAAGCTATATAATCTTAAAATCTGTCATAGGAACATAAAGTATTGGAGTTAAAAGATAGACTATTTGTAAGTCTGATTAGATGTTTAGGTTTTATTTAGAATAAATGTTTGGATGTTTTCACAAAATGACTGGAATTATAGGCATTCTGTTAAACTCTTCGGCTCTCCCACTTGATTGCTTCATGAAAAGCCCCAAAGTTTTTCCAGTGCATAAAATGATAGGCTTTCCCGTTGCAGCCACGTTGTGCTACACTGCTCCTCAGACAAGTCAAATCTTTGGGAAGTGACACCCCCAGCAACTTCTTCACTGACCACATGCAAATGTTGCAAGGAAATTTCTATGCTGTGTGGTTGTTGGGGTTTTTTTTTAAGGCTGGCTGAGGCATGAGATGGGTTCTGCTTTGCTGCTTTCCCATCTGGGAACCTCAAATGTATTTCTAGTCGTTGTGCTCCTTTATCGTATCCACTCTGTCTGATCATCTGCCTGTGCTTGTTGGGCATGACGAAGAAAGCTTGTTGCTGGCAACAAGTGGTGACAGGTCAAGGCCCTACAAGACCACTGCATCAAAGATCTCCAGTGCGGTCAACCCTGAGGGAAATGGTCCAGATGTCTGCCCTGAGCATGCTCTGACAACTCTCTGCGCTAAGTCCTCCGGGTGGCTGGCTTGAGCTCCGAGATGCCTCCTCTGCAAATGCTGCCGAATCCAGGCAGAGTGCAGGGAGATACGAGATCTCTGTAGCTTTTCTGCCTGGGATAGACTGAACCCTAGGCTTCGTTATTGCCCCTTTGTAAGAGTTCTTAAAACCCTGCTGATGTCCTGCCCAGCGTGGATGCCATAGGCAGACTATGTGGCAAGACACAGCTGATCAGAATCGAAGGCAATCTTCTGTGGGAAATGGTCTAGAAGCTGGTTTGCCTTGTGTCCTCAACAGCCCTCTACTGAAGAGGGTGTTTGCAGAGATGAGCGTGTGTTGCTGTTACTGTGCTCACACACTCGCAGGGGGTGGGAACGCTCACCTGAGGGTTTTCTGAAACGGAGCTGTAGTGGCCTGAAGAAATGTAAGAGAAGCGGTTGTTAACATGACAAAGCAAACTCAAAGTGTAATTGCTGTGACTCTGACTTTGCCAACTGTGAAGACAAGTGTGTTCTGTGACCGGACATGTATTCTTGCATGGCTTCAAAAATCAATACAAAAGATGGTGTGGTTTCACAAATGGAAAGAAAAGGGAGCTCTATAAAAAGCAGACAAGCCAAACGTCAGTGTTAAATCTGGGCTCTGAGAGGATAAGTCAGGTGAGAGGGCAGCTGAGGCTGAGCTTCTCAGCTTGCAGCACCGGCAGCACTGTTTGCACACTAACGAAACGTTTTGCTCTGCATATTATGCTGGTTATGCCAGGCTCTGCATCTCATGCTGGTTCCCCAGAACAGCAGAGACACCTCCCTGGCATCGTCTTGGCACCAGCCAGGCTCCCAGCAGCAACGGGAGGCAGGAGCAGGGGTTGTGCAGGCAAGGGTCCAGAAGGATGCAGTTATCCTAGTTCAGGGCATGTATGATCTTAGAAATAAATAGAAAAGATTGCATTGTTTACTGGCCTTTTTCCTTTTCCTTTTTTTTTTTTCTTTTTATATGCAATTTATATCTCCTTTGGAGTCAGTCCCAAATGATGGGTGTTTAGTCATTTCATGTCATGCCCACCTGCTATTTTCAGACATTTCAGAAAATGACTGGTTTCACAATAGGATTGCAACATATGTCAGAGAGGGACAGGGACATTAGGATAAAATTGGAGAGGGAGGAAAATATAAATGCATCCAGAGCTGTTATTTCATGTTAATAAGCAGATGTTTTTTATTACGTAAAGATATAGGGAACTGTGCAGAACTTGCTCTCCTCATTCATTTTGTCGTGCTCCTATTCTCCAATTTTGCTTTTTGTCTGATTGTTGCATCTTCTTGTAACCAAGAGTGTGTATTATCCTTGAGGCACCATCTGTTAACTTTGTATCTGTATGACATATCACCATGGGACCTGGCACTCATGGTCTCTGAATGGTCTGATGACACATATTAATAGTCTGATGCAATAGGGTAGTTCCGCAGTTCCTTAATACTCCTGGAGGCAGACCAGGAATACAGGGAGCTCTTAATTTCTCTTCAGGCAACAGGAATTGGTGCTGGTTTGGAAAAACAGGTGAAGATTGTAATAAGGCACTTGGATCGCTACAGAAGGTTTCTGTTTGGAGTGTATTTGGAAAGCGTATGTTTTCTCATGTAATGCAGTCTGAAAATGCAGTTCTTGTTGCTCATTTCAGCTGAGTGGGAATCTGATCCAGCTGTCTTTGAGTTGCAACTGGATTAGCCCCTAAATCAGTTATACCCCACCTTTGCAGTGTGATAAGAATGCTATTTTCCCTGATGTTTTCAGCCCATCATCAGTAATTCAGCATGATCTTCTATAAAGATACGGCAAACGCAAATTTTCCCCATTACAATTTAGAAATGGCCTCTTTAAGCATGAGCATTTTTCTCAGACCATATTTCTTGATTTGTTTTACATAGCCCAAAACTCAAAGCCACAAAAGAGTAATCAGCAATACTGGGTTTTTTTGGAGCCCGTATTTTGTGTGGTTGTGTATGCCAGCATCCTTCTTTTCTACTGTGCAGTAGAGCAGAGATGAAGCATACCCAAAATCAGGCTTACCAAACATCTTTTCAGTATTTAAGGAGAAACATATATTTTTAACAAGTTATGTTTTCTGAATGAAAGCTGAATTCTGTTTGCTCCAAGCTTTCAGTTTTCTTTCAAAAAACCCTGAACTTAAGCTACGAAAGGACGAAGCAGCATTGTCAATGCCTGTAGAAAGAAGAAAATAGGACACCACTTGAGGGCAGCAAATAATCAGCTTCTCTCTTTCACAAGCTAACAAAGTATCATGAAGATACTTTGTACATTTATTTTGCATTTATTTATCTTGTAATTTTTTACTTGTCTTGCAAAGAGTATTGTTTCCAAATAATTGCACTGATAGAAAGAAAAGTAATATCTGCAAAAAGAAAAAAGGAGGTTTTCTTCTGGGTTTTTATTTTTTCTTTGGAATTCAGCAAAAATGCAAAGATGCATGGAATTTTTTTGAAGGTGGCAGAGAAGGGGTCCAGCCGCAGAAGCTCATTTTCACCAAATACATCCTCAGAATG